TCAAAGAATATAAATACATTAAAATAAAATGCAAGTGAACAATCTGTGACTCCCCCACTTGTGAGGTAAAATTCACAGCAAGCTGAACAACCTGTGATATTGTGCTAAATACAATGGTGCCACACCATAGTGGGATTCAATGCAATTGCCCTCTCTCAGCTTAAACCAGCATATACCAGCACTCCAGGGTATTTCCAGCTTCCACCCTGCGGGTACGCCCAAGTCAATCTCCCCCGCTCCTCAGAAGGGCAGAGGAGGCAATAATCAGTGGAGTGTAAAGGGTATCATAACAACTTTATTCAAATCTTACATTAATAACAGGAAAAACCATCCATCCTTCCCAGCAGTTCTCACAGCCGAATTCCAATAAAAAGATGGCCGCACCACTCCTTCCGGTTTTGCGTCTGATGGCACGTCCTGACGCATTTCGTCACTTCCAACTTCTTCTCGAAGGATCCTGACATCTAGGACGCGGCTTTTCTTATCCTGCTCTATATTACTGGCAGGAGATACGAGCCGCCATCTTAACTTAGGGCAGCCAGTGCCGATTTTCACAAGCCACCTTATTTCAAATTCACAACCTTATAGCATGATCAATTGAACCGAATTTCCATAATGATACATACACAATAATATAAACTCACCAAATACCATAACATCATTAAAATCAACTTCCTATAAATATTCCAGTGTTCCATGATATCCGATGAATATAAATACCATTTTTATTTTCTCATCCCATAATATAAACCATACCCTAATTAAAATCATCTCTACTAAAATAAAATGAAATAAACTCATACAATGTATATTTACCTTATACATATACATCATATTAATTATATCATTATACCACAGTACCCTCTACTGGCCACACTGAATATACAATTCATGAATCAATACTAAGATTTATATAAATTCTTAATTATGATTAAATAAAACACCTTCATCATACAATCCTAAATTATAAATATAGTTAAAACATCTCCATAAATCCTGCAATCTTATTATATCTAGTATTTACATTCCTAAAATATTATATATACCCTTAATCTATATTAAAATTAGTATTAATTTTTTAATATAATAAAATAATAAGATTTTATAATAAAACCATATAATTCCTATTCTATACTCCCCTCTTATAAATCTGAAATGAAGCAGTTAAGGTCTAATTCTATATTTAAACCTCTAGGTTTCAAAGTGCGCAGTTGATAGATCCAGAAAGTCTCATTACGCGATAACATCTGTATTCTATTCCCTCCCCTCCAATGAGCCTCCACCGTATCGATCCCACAAAACCTTAGTACACTGGGATCTGATTTTTGAAATTCTTTAAAGTGTCTTGACACACTATGATTCTTTTTGCCTTTTTTAATATTTCCTACGTGTTCTTTCAATCTCTCACAAAGGGACCTTTTAGTCCTACCCACATATTGGAGTTTACAGGGACATTCTAACAGATACGTCACATATTTTGTACTGCATGTTATGAATTTTTCTACCTCATATTTTTCTCCAGTGTTATGTGATTCGAAACCAGAAATTATTCTATTTTTTTATATTCATAATTTTACATACCTTACATTTCCTACAGGGATAGAATCCTTTGAAATCAAACATCCTAATACCTTTCTGATTGGGAGGTGAGATGACACCTTTCACCAGGTTACTTCTTGGGTTCATATTTTTTCTATATATAAACGGCGGTTTATTAGGGAGAACAGATCCTAAAATCACATCTTTTCTTAAAATCGGACAATGTCTCTTAAAAATATTTTCTATATCTTTATAATGGCAGTTAAAATGAGAAATAAAAGCATAATCTACTTTATTAGTTTTTTCCTCTTTCATCTTGTTTTTCTTCTTAATTTTTCCTTCACCCAAATAGTTCTGACTTATTTTGTACCTGTTTTTTTCCAATTTGATAGGGTCATACCCTTTGTGGATAAACCTTTCCTTAATGACCTTCGATTGTACAATGTAATCCTCTAGCCTGGAACAGTTCCTCATAATCCTTGAAAACTGCCTTTTTTTTCGGTATTCCTTCAATCCATTGCGGGTGATGGCAACTATTGGTTGGGATATACCCATTCCTATCGGTCTATTTAAAAAACGTTTTAAAATATAATTTATTATTATGCTTAAAAATCTTAAGATCTAAAAAATTTGCCGATTCTTTGCTAATATTACAGTGGCAGCGTCGTTGAGGGAACACGTGCAGGAGAGGTCCGCTCTCCTACGCTGAGAGGAGACACCCTCTCCACCGCCGCAGGGGACTCGAGGCCTGCTCTACACCGCTGAGGGGGACACGAGGCCCGCTCTCAACCACCTTGGGGGACACGAGGCCCGCTCTACACTTCCTTGGGAGACACGAGGCCCGCTCTCCACCGTCTTGGGGGACACAAGGCTCGCTCTACACCGCCTTGGGGGACACGAGTAAGGTTTGTGCCTGACTAGTAGGTCTGGACTCAAAATTTTAACCCCTGCACAAAGCATATAAGTCCAAAAAAATGGAACCCTGGACTTCCAATAGCCAGGAAGAGGTTGAGACATCGAAACGCGTTAGCCTGTTGCAAGTCCAGGGTTCCCTTTTTTTGGACTTATTTGCTATGTGGACTGGACACCGCTGTTTAGTGTGTGATGTGCCCTTTGACCTGTTTGCCTATTGTGAGTAAGATACTTATTTTTATCCTTCCAATAATTTTTTACGATAATGCACTAGGCCGGTGTGCCCTCTGTTTGTTTTTCTTTGTATCCAGTGACATAGGACTACCCCAGTCCATTGAGGGCAGCAAGGAGTGCATTTTCCAGGATATCTGTGATGATACCATAACCCTAGCCGAGTCCATCCAAAAGCACAGGAGTACGGTGTTTTCTGTGTTGTCATTATAATTGGCCTGAACCCCAGTTGCAGCATAGGTCTTATCTTTACTTCTCACGCTCCCTTTTGAAAAATGCAAAAGCTGAAACAGGGATAGGGGAAGGGCAAGAGAAAAATATTTATTTGATTCCAGGGGCGGACTGACAACTCATAGGGCCCCCAGGCAATAGGGGATCATGGGGCCCCTGTGTCCTTGCCCAAACTCAAAAAAGCCTATAAAAAAGGTACCAGGGGCATCTCATCAGGCCCCCTACTGACCCCGGGCCCTCAGGCAGTGCCCAAGTTTCCAAACAATCAGTCCGCCCTTGTTTGATTCTAAAACTTTAAGGCCCATGATTATCTGAAACCAAGTCTACAAGTTCAAGTACATTTTTTAGAGGTATCAAACTCAATTTCAATGTGGGGTGTATCAACATTTTGGTTGCCCTCAAAAGGCTGGTTGTATCTGTAAGACTAGATGTCTAGAGTACTCCACCACCCTTACATCAGATGTTAAGAGTCCCCCCCCACCACCAACAGAAGCCAAGAGTACCCCATCCTCACACACATCACAGTGCACACCCCTTAGCTGGTGCCGGGAAGAAGCTTGGGGTGGAGCTGAAAAGCAGAAAGTGCAGGGTCTGGAGGAGGACTGAAATCAGTTGCTGGAGTCCAAGTGAGGTCGATACGAGGGGGTGCTGCAGCTGCACAGATCGTGGAGGATCTGTAGGAGGAAGGGGCGGACTGACCATTTGGAAACTCGGGCACTGCCCGAGGGCCCGGGGTCACTAGGGGGCCCCATGAGATGCCCCTGGTACCTTTTTCATAGGCTTTTTTGAGTTTGGGCAAGGACACAGGGGCCCCATGATCCCCTATTGCCCGGGGGCCCCATGAGTTGTCAGTACGCCCCTGGTAGGAGGAGTTCTGTTCTCCTCTCTGCAGCTGAGACAGAGGGAGCAGAGATGAACACAGAGAAGCACAGGCTCTAGTAGAGTTCTGGCCTCCTCTCTGCTGCCGACTACTAAGACAAGGTGGGGGCGGAGATGAGGGGGGTTCCCCAGTTGTAGGAGAGGTGCAAGGGCCACAAGAAATTTCCTGATGAGCTAGATTCGGTGTGGGCCTTGTGTTTGACACATGTGGTTTATGTTAATGAAAATGCCATAGCAATGAAGACCATTCTTGTTTCTGACTTTTTGGAAAGTGAGTTCAGCTGGTAGTTAAGCTTTCTTATAAATGGGCCCTATAGAATGCAATCAGTGATATGGATGCTCATGGAAGAAAAGTCTCAAGGTCAGCTCCATAAATGAGGGTTTCCCATAAAAGGCCATACTTACAGGCGTACCTCGGTTTACGAACTCCTCGGTCAGTGTAATTTTCGGTTTACAAATAAAAATCCATTGAAAATAATGCCTCGGTTTACGATTTTTTAACTAATTTTTTTTGCAATACGAAGCAATTTTCCCTAGGATGCATTGCGCCTGGGAGGTTTATAGCGCCGCATGCTGGAGTCTGTGGTAGCACGTGGTGTCGAGTGTAGAGGTCAGAGGTGTTGGAGCGGTTTTTGCATCGAGTTATTGCTTGATTAATCATGTCCCTGTACAGTATTTATGCCTTTAACCACTTGCCTACAGGGCACTTATACCCCCTTCCTGCCCAGGCCAATTTTCAGCTTTCAGCGCTGTCGCACTTTGAATGACAATTGCGCGGTCATGCAACACTGTACCTATATGAATTTTTTAGCATTTTTTTTTGAGACAGAGCTTTCTTTTGGTGGTATTTAATCACCTCTGGATTTTTTATTTTTTGCTAAACAAACCAAAAACAACTGAAAATTTTGAAAAAAAAAGTTTTTTCTTAGTTTTTGTTTTAAAATTTTGTAAATAAGTGATTTTTCTCCTTCACTGATATGTGCTAATGAGGCTGCAGTGATGGGCACTGATAGGTGGCACTGATGAGGAGGCACTGGTAGGTGGCACTGATGGGCACTGAAAGGCAGCACTCATATATGGCACTGATAGGCGGTACTGACTGGCACTGTTAGGCAGCACTGACGGGCACTGATACGCACTGATAGTCGGCACTGACTGGCACTGATAGTTGGCACTGACTGGCAGCACTGATAGGTAGCACTGACTGGCATTGATAGGTGGCACTGACTGGCACTGATAGGTGACACTGAAAGGCAGCTCAGATGAGCACTGATATGTGGCATTGATGTGCACTGGTAGGCACTGATATGTGGCATTGATGTGGCACTGATGGGCACTGGCAGGTGGCACTGATGAGCACTGACAGCTGGCATTGATGGACACTGACAGGTGGCACTGCTGGGGCTACACTTATCATCAGGGCACACTGATCATCAGTGCCCTGATGATCAGTGTACATGTCCCCTCCGAGGAATGCCGATTACCAGCTCTCCTCTCGAGCTGTCAGCGTGACAGCTCGTGAGGAGAGAAATGCTGATAACCGGCATTTCCATATTTACATGAGATCAGCTGTGATTGTACACCTTGGAAATCTTCGGCTCTTTCCGTTGATCGGTGATCCGCTGTGTCCAAGGGACACAGCACACTGCCGATCGCCTTGCTGTGCGCTCCCAGACCCGTGCATGCTCGGTTAGAGTAGGAGGACGTCATATCACGTTCTCCCAGAATGAGAGAACTGCCATGCGCCCGTCATTGCCTTATATGACGGGCGGGAGGTGGTTAAAGTGCACTTTATACAGAGTTTTGAACAGATAAAATACTTTTTTTTATTTTTTCTGACCTCTGAAACAGATTAATTGGTTTTCAATGCATTCCTATGGGAAACCGTGTTTCGGTTTACAGATTTTTCGCAATATGAAACGACTCGGAGAACACATTGAATTTGTAAACCGAGGTACACCTGTATTTGGAAAATTTTTTAAAAAGGCTACATTGCTAATGTGAGTCGAGTTCATGGCAAGGGCCGATGTACTGTGGAATATAGCAGTGATATTTACTTTTATTTTGGATAGAGCGGGAAAGGTTTTTATTGCAGTCTGTGACCCCAATTAAGGATGATTCGTCCCACATCCAGTACCGGTGACAGGGAAACGAGAGGCAGAAAATGATGGCAAATGTTTCCAATGGGGACAGAGACAGTAACAAAAACATGGCGTTACCCTCAAGAGTGACATTCCGTTCTGTTTATTTTTGAAAGTTTTGAAAGGGTGTTTGTAGACACCAGTACTGCGAATTTAAAGTCCAAATTTCTGGCACTCAAGGCATTTTAGATTGTTCAGTTGGGTACTTGCATGATAGCTGGAGTCAATGACAGATAAGGGTATCAATATGTATCACAATAGTGATATTTGCTTTTAATAATATATTATACATGTCAGGTACTGTATATTCACTGGAACCCAGGATACCGGGACGTTGTGAATTTCCATGTTGTCTGCAGATGCCATGTTCTATTTGGGTGTATGCATTACAAACAAATATGCAGATACCATAGTCATGTGTATGAGCAGTTGTCAGTTACGGGAACTACATCAGTATGCTTTGGCACCTTTAGGTTCTGCTTCATGGGCAATTTTTATGAAGGTATAAACCAAAAAAATTTTTTATAGTTTGGTATGACCTTTTGCAAGCTTTGGAAAAAGCTATTCTTTCCTGCAATAAGGATGTAGGGATCTGCGGTAGCTGAAGCCTTTTCAAGTTTCTACATTTTGGAACATTCAGCCAATGAATTTTGTGGTGATAGAATACACAATAAGACCAAAAGTAGCCAGATGCCATCCTCTCCAGCATCTCATTCAGTAACTTCATGTAAAATCTGTTTCCCAATAGCAGTTGGACCATTATAGGATTTGTTTCAATGGTGAGGATGGGCTCTGATGTTGGCCTGCATCCAAGTTGGTGTTGCGGTTGATCTCGTTGGATTTAAATCTAAACTCCGAGCACAGCTTTCCACCTAAGCGCTGAGTTAGTTTTAAAAACATGAAGATAACTACCCCAAATTGTTACTAATTCTATAGTCATGTGACACACAAAGTCTTTTTCTAGTCTTTCCTGTAGAGCGAGCAGATTCTTCTTCAGGTGTCCATGTCACTACCTGGGTGACAAGGACACTTCCTATGGACTGTCTAGTGGTTCGGTCCTTTCAAGAATCAGAAGAATGCAATGGCATTGTGATATCATAAGGAGGCTATATATCGGCACCGACTGCAGCGCTGAATTGTTGAAGGACATTGATGGTGAAGTTAGCTGAATATAAAAATGGGTGAGTGGGGATGGGAGAGGAGAAATTTGCCCAGAAATTAGCTCATATTTGGGTTGTTATCAAGGCTTTATTAAGGTGAGTTAAGTTCTTCCACTTTCACAGTATGAGCTGTGAAAATGTAGAATAGACTCCCTCAAGAGTTGGTTCTGGCCAGCTCAGTGGATTGTTTTAAAAAAGTCCTGGATTCTTTCCTAGATACACAGAATATAACTGGATATAACATTTATAGGTAACATTGATCCAGGGAATATCTGATTGCCCTTCGGGGGATCAGGAGGGAAATATTTTCCCTGCAGGAGCAAATTGGATCGTGCTTTGCTGGGGGGTTTTTGCCTTCCTCTGGATCAACTGTGGGTGTAGGATTATAACTTTTTTTTTTCTTTTTTTTAAAGGTTGAACTGGATGGACTTTTGTCTTTTTCAGCCAAACTAACTATGTAACTATGTAATTCAGGAACCATTTTTGTATTGGCCTTGCTCTGCGCACAGGGCATTATTGTACTAATGCATAAAAAAGTCAATATGCAACCATTAAGTAGAAACCAGTAACGTTTGATGGTAACTGCATGGTCATGTGCTTCAAGTATAAGGCAAGTATATTTGGATAGGTGGAAAATGGATTAGAACACCTGGCAGTTGTTTCTTGCTGTCTGTGTCCCCGTTAAGGAGTATCACCCCCTCTATTTGTCCTGTTTACCATTATCATTGAAATTGAAAGTAAAAGAAAAACCCAAATTTTTGACTGTCCCTAAAAAAGTAATAGAGGGGAAACACTCCAATGGAGACACTAGTACTGGAGACCTTGGGGTCCCCAAGAGATTCCCTTAATTTGCATGGGTTTCCTGTTTGGCTATGAGATGGGAAGTAAAGGTAATTCTCCCAATTGGATAAAAATTGACCAAATTAAACCTTACAGGGATTATAAGCCTCCCTCACTCTATCCAAAATGGAAAAAAAAGTTTTGTCTATTATTCTACATTAAATGTACACCTTTGTTAACTTCAGCTGCATTCAATAATTAGAAGGGTTGTCCAGATACTTTTGGCCAATGCAACTAGAAGTGGTATCCTACTATCTCATTGACACAGTAGGACTCATGCATAATTTATTGTCACAAAAACGAAGACCAGGACTAATAGGGGTTATAGCAATAACATTATTACAAAATCACACAAAACAGTAAGATGCAGGACCATGCACAAAGAGTCTAAGATCGAAAAGAAAATGGTAGGTGTAGATGATTTGGAGACAGTGAGTTGTTACAACAATGTAGTAAATCGGCCTGAGTAGGTAAATTGGCTTGAGTAGACATCTTCAGGCATAAAGGCAATTGACATTATTAGTACCACCAAGATGGCCTTAAAAAATTTCTCAGAACAAAATGTTGACTGTATCTGGTGGACTATAGTTGCCTTAAAAGAACCCCATGATGTTATCCAGGGGTGTCAAACTGGTGGCCCTCCAGCTGTTGCGAATCTACAAGCCCCATCATGCCTCTGCCTTTGGGAGTCATGCTTGTAACTCTCAATCTTGCAATGCCTCATGGGACTTTTAGTTTAGCAACAGCTGGAGGGCCGCCAGTGTCAGCGGCCGACTGGCGGTAGCCTCTAGCGGCCCACTGGCCGGGGTCCCTCAGGGCGTGGAGTCTAAGCCTCAGTCTGCTGGTTCACCAGAGCCCCTGATGGTGGGGATGGACTTGAAGCAGCCTGAGACCAGGTCGCGACCCCCGAGAAACACCAGCTGTGGTAGAGGCGGATGCCAATGGCGTGGAGCAGGTAAGAGCCAGGTGTGAAGAGGTATGCGTGGTCAGACAGGCCGGGTTGGCAACAGCGGAGCAAACAGTACAGTAGGCAGAAGAATAACAGGTCACGAGCCGGGTTCAGTAACAGGAGGTCAGGCAATCAGGATCAGGCAGAGAATAGTCAGGACGAGCCGGGGTCAGAGCAGGGGAAGACAGCAGTATCAGGAACAGGCTGGGTCGGTAACAAGGTATTCAGGAACACTGGATCAAACAGGAACACAGGTACAGGGAACAAGACCATAAGGCGATTTAGAGATGCACAGGGCTGGTTTAAATAGGGTGCCCTGTGCTCTCATTGGTGTGGCCGCAATCGCTAGTGCGCATGCGCGGCCGCCGCCGCGATCGCCTAGGACTCAGTGCTCGCTGGCTAGGACGAGTCGGCACTCTGCGCATGCGCGCACCGCCGAGAAGCCGGGATCCCTGACAGCCAGTTTGACACCCGTGGTGTTATCTTTCATTCTTCTGTAATTATACTGGCAGTTGCAGTTTACCCTTACCCATGGCAGCCAAAATGGAGTGTTGTTGGGGACATTATCATGGCAGCATTATAGACCTTTATGATCATACGAGGGGCATTCAAGTCAAACCGGGACCTTTAATCTTACAGGTATAAAAAGGGATGCTAGCGTGGTGGTACTACATGCAGTAGTAAGTGGCAAGCGTGTCCTACTACTGATAGGTGACGCACATGTCGCGGGCCAGTCCAGTTAATCAAGATGGCAGACAACACTGTTCGTGTGTGCATGGAACAGCATGTGGTGATGAAGTTTCTTGTGAACGAAGGCGTAGAACCGCGGACAACTACAGAAGACTTCAAGCGCAGTACGGTGATGAGACGCTCAGCCGCAGTAAGACATTTGGTTGGTGTATACGTTTCAAATATGGCCGTATGTCCATCAGTGACGATCCTGGCCATGCTGGTTCCCAGCCAACAGCAATCATTCCTGTGAACATTCAGCACGTGGAACGCCTGATCCTGGACAATCGATGCAAAACCTGTCATGAAACTGCACAAGAGATGAATCTTTCTGTGGGAATGGTAAACACAATCATTCACGAATGTTCTAGGATGGTTCAGGCGTACTGAGAAATCTTTCTATGCTGAAGCTTTCCATGCATTAGTTAAACACTGGGATATTTATATACTGTACATGTAGCAGGGGAGTATGTTGAAAAATAAATGCAGTTTTCACTCCTTCAAATTTGTTCTTTTATTATATAAACTCAAAAGTCCCAGTTCGACTTTTTGACTTTGAACGCCCCTTGTAGTTAAAGTGCATTTTAACGGAATGAAGGTGCGAAGACTGTGACATACTTTGTGAAGGACATGACTAGGAAATTGGAGTAGCACGAGAGAAGTGGTTACCTATTGAAAGAGAAAAGCTGCTTATGGAGAGCACCAAATGTTGTAGTTGAATGTACACATGTGGACCAAGCAAGAGACTAATTAAT